TTCCATTTATTGTTAGATAGAGTGGAAGGGATGGTGGGAGGGAAAGAGAGAGAGAGGGAGAGAGAAACATTGATGTGAGAGAGACACATTGACTGGTCGCCTCCTATGTGACCCCAACCAGGGCGGGGGATGAACCCAAACTGAGGTCCATGCCGGAATGGAACCCATGACGTTTTGGTCCACAGGCCGGAGCGCTAACCACGGAGCCGGACCAGCCAGGGCGACACTTTCAGTTTTGATCAGTAGGGAAGAACGGGCTGGAGAAAGTACAGGGATATGAGTGAGAGTGGCCATGTAATGTGGTGTTTGTCAAACTGAAGAAAGAACACATCAGCCTAAAATTTTCAAAATTCAGAGGAAACTATAGACTGACATAGAAGATGCAACAACGTCGCCCTAGAGACATTGTGAGCGGAATGAGCTGGCAGAAAAGACAGCAAGAGGCCTGCCTGTGAACTTGGGAAGGACGGACGTGAGAGACGGAGTCAGGCTGGGACCTGGAGGGGCACCGGTGGCATGGAAGGAGTGGAAGTGGTGACAGTGCAGAGGACCCAGAACCAGCTGAGGCTTGAGAACAGCGCAGGAGCAGCAACAAGACAAAGACAAACTAAACTACCTGTGGACAGACCACAAACATAGAAAGGTGGCTCAGCGTGGGGTGATGGTCCACGTAGCTCCTTCATCCTCCAATATCGGCTTGGTAGTCGGAGCACTGGCTTCCCCTGGTGGAAGGGAGCTCACTCCTCACGATGGCCCTCCTCCCACCTGTCCACCACCTCCTCTTAGAGCTTCAGGGCAGGGCTGGGGCTGGCTCTGGGCGGGGCTGGGGCTGGCTCTGGGCGGGGCTGGGGCTGGCTCTGGGCGGGGCTGGGCCTGGCTCTGGGCGGGGCTGGGGCTGGCTCTGGGCAGGGCTGAACCTGGCCAGACAGTCCTAAAGCCCAGTTGGCGGTGCTTTTGCTCACGCACCACTCTCCCCCAGAGAAGGTGGCGCCTCCGTGGTCTCCGTGCCCACAGGCAAACCCAGACGTGCCCTTCCTCCACGGAAGGTCCCCTCCACTGGGCAGAACCCTGGGGGTGGGCAGTGCCTGGTTGTGTGTGCTGGGCCCAGGTGCCGGCATTCTGCACCGGGTGGTGTTCACAAATGTGGGTGATGAGAGTCTCTGGGGGGCTTTTCTATCTACAGTCCCTCTTTCCCACACTTGGGGAGTCCGGGGAGGTGAAGTGGGGCCTGAACTGTCTGTTAACAGGTGCCCAGGTGATTGTGGAGCCCAGGCCGGCAGTGAGGGAGGATCCTCACTGCAGTCAGCTCCAGTCCCGGGCCCGCCCCTGCCCCCTGCAAGGGAGGCGCCGCCTGCTTACACGGCCCTGCTGGGCTGATACCGCAGACACGGGCGTGGCCAGTGAGAGGCTCTGCTCACGTGGCCCGGGGCTCGCCCTCCTCACCGTGGGCTTCATACGTGAACGGCGTGGAAGGTCCACACAGCACGATGGCGCCCATGTCATGGTGTGACCGGGCCAAATGCTTTCCATACGCAGAGAATTCGGGGTTTGCCTACAGCCCCTCTTTTACAGGCAAATGCTTTACTCCTGTGCTTCCCTCCGTGGCCCCCCTGCTAGACTTTGGACTCCTGCCGTTGACATACCAGAGTCCCCCTGAGGCCTAGGGTCTCAGAAGAGGCAGGCAGGCCCTCTGACGTGGAACCATCCCTGCCTTGGAAGGGGGTGATCAGCTTCTACCGCCCCTCCAGCGACGGGAGCCGGTTTCCCGGGCGGCTCTCGCGCGGATGGAGGCAGCTGTGGGCGTTGGAAGTGCCTTTCTCACGCGAGCGTGACTCTGCCTCCAGACGTGTGAGGCTCTCTCCCCTTGCCCCTGGTACCGCGGGAGACACACGAAGACATGCCTGCCTCGCTCCCAAACGCTTTCCTGTCCAGGCCAAACAGAGGCTGCTAGCACTTCTCTAAGTTAAATGTCCGAGCGAACCACTGGGGAATCCTGGGAAAATGCAGACTGAGATTCTGGGTTTCTGACAAGCTCCCTGATGACGTGAAGGCCACAGCTTCGAGGACCACACCTACAGGAGCCGTGTCGAGGGTTAAGTGTCCAAAGTGAGGAGGCCTGAGACCCTGCCTTGGCCCCTCCTCGCTTGGTGACTGTGTGACCTCAGGATAGCATGGGGTTGGTAAGAGCACCTCCATAGGGTTGTCGTGAGGACAGCGGCCAGGCTCAAAGCTCTCTGCTCAGGGGTGAGCTCTTGGTCACTTCCTGCTGAATGGCCCCAGTACCTTTGATCATTCCCTGGAGGTGTGTTATATCCCCTCTCCAGGACATATTTAAGGAGTCATAACATAGTAAAGGGTCAATACACTAACCAGAAGATACAAGCATAGCCTTGGCCTATAATTCCCACAAACAGTGTTCTCACAATTCTAACTGCTATCCTATTAAACACAACGGTAGAAATAGTGATTTTTCTGGGCAACTCAGAGGAGTGAAATATTAATTTAGAAGCTAAAGGACACATCAACAAAGGTCTATCCTGGGAGGCTACACTGGTTCCATTTTTGTGCTGATTAGAAATGCTAAAGAATGATTAGCCAAACCAATGCACTTTGATATGGTAAGGCACTCCATTAGAATTTAACAAATGTCATTGTTGTTCGATACATAGACTAAAGCTGGGAAATTCTGGTTTCTTCATTAGTTGATGCACTACTTTATGTTTCCTGACTCAGCTTTGGTGCCATCTCCTGTATAAAGCCCTCTGTCCTTCCAGGCTGAGTTAGGGGCTCCTCAGACCACCCTATTAAATGACTTACCCCATGGGGCTACAATGGTCTTTCTTCTCTGTTAGATGTTAATTCCCTGAGGGCAGGGACCAGATCTTATTATCATGGTGTATCTGCTGTGCCCAGTGATGTGCCTGGCACAGAGCAGGGACTCTGAAAATGTCTGTAATAGGGAGGGAAGAGGGAGGAAAGGAGGCATAAATGACCCCCCACACACAGAAAGAGGAGAGCACTATTTGCAAATGTGTTGGTCTGTGCTGACTTGTGTTCCCTGGAGGCAAAGCTGAGGAACACAGGGACATAGCACTCGCATCAGTGACAGAGGCCCTCCTGCTGCGCCCCCAGGTGTCCCTGCTCTCTGATGTGAAAGATGCTGTGTTCCACTGGGTGCCCTGTTCCTTTTGTGCACCCACAGGGGCGAAGAGCACTGGGAAGCTGACCTTGACCTCCGACGTCAAGCCTCGCTCACGGTGCTCTTGAGACAGATGACTACTCCCCAAACACGAACTCCCCTTAAGTAAAGCATATTTCCCCTTGTGGGGACATGGTTAGTGTGCCTATGGTTGTTTTCAGCTGAGGGGTACTCCTTTGGCTAGGCGATTCTCTTCCGGGGAGAGTTTTAGACTGAGAGGCTACTTTTCTACCGGAGGATGGAGACAGTGGTGCGGACACTTGGTGAGTAGGCGGCGGAGCTGAGACCAACACTCTGTGCTCTGCATTTGCACTCTGACCTGTGATGGGGGAACTCCCCCAGTGGCCTGCCTGCCCCCTGGCTCATCACCGGGCTGACTCGCCAGGTGTAGACAGAGCTCATGGCCTTGGGCTGGGGGGTCTGTGTGGCACCTTCACAGTGAAATGCAGGTGTGGCCACACTTGTTGGAAAAAGAAACAGGGATGAAATCCTGACTCCAAGACACTCGGAGTGTGCTCAGGTCCCCGAGTGTGCGAGCCTGGGGCCGGCTGAGCTGGCCGCCTCCCCACCATCCCAGCCTGGAAACCGCCTCCTGCAACCCCTCCCAGAAGCAAAACAAACCCCAAGGACAAGGCATCTCGTGTGGTCCCCGCCACAGCTGCCCTTCTGGACGAGGAGGGACGCCTCTGTCCCCGTCTCTCCCACGTCACACAAAGGCACGGGCTTCAGCGGAAGCCCCGTGGCAGCCTGTGAGGATGGGCTGGCTCCCCGCCCAGAGGGTGCCCCAGCGGGCATCTCCTCATAGACCCGCATTGCTCTCAGAGGTGCCGAGGTGGTCACTGCCCTCAGCCCTCTTGAGTGGATTCAGATACTTTACTCCAAGTCCCCAAATACAATTTCCTGTGGGCACAGAGCACAGCTACAGGTCGCTAAATCAGGACAATCAGGGCCTGACTCAGGTATTTGTCATCTGCAGTGGGGGTCTGGGTCCCTCCCACCTTTGCCTCCCAGCAACAGTGGGTCTGGCCCAAGAAGGCGTGGGCAGGTGTGGAAGGAGGGACCCTTGGACTGCAGGCGATGCCGAGGCTGCTCTGTGCCCACGGGAAGACCGGTGTGGCCTGCAGCCCAAGACGCAGGGCCTGGAGGGCACGTGGCCCTTCCGTGCTCACCAGCGGAGACCACACTGCCCACAGAGGGACAGGGGCTCAGTGACAGAACCACATCTGCAGACTTGTTTCACTTGCTCAAAGGTAGCCTTTTCTTTGTGGGAAACAGCTCTCAGGACAGTCTCTGCAGTAAAGAAAACCCTTCTACTCGATACATATTTCTGTAAGTTGCCGCCGGTCCTCTGCCGGTTCCCCGAGCTGAGCTGCACGGGCTGCCGAGTCGGGCGCATGTCTGCTGGAGGGGTGTGCTGGGGTCTGCGAGCCCGGCGGGTTTGGCATGTTCTGGGGCTGAGCGCCCTTCAGAGGGAGTGTGCCGGGGGCTGAACAGAACAGTTCTGCGGGGTGGGGGGGTGGGGGGATCCCCTGGAGGCCAGAGGAGAGGCCGGAGGAAGAAAGGGGAAGAGAAGAGACACGGAGCAGGCCTGTGGTTCGGAAAGGGGTTCAGAAGGGACCAGGTCATGCAAGCAGCCCCTCCCAGGGAGGGGAGCCCCAGGGATGCCCGGGAGGCTGTGTTTTCAGAATCCCCGGGTTCTTTGAGACTAAGGATCTCACATGGCTAAGTAAGCGGTGAGTGTGTGTGTGTGTGTGTGTGTGTGTGTGTGTGTGTGTGTGGTCTGGGTGAGGGGAAGGAAGCTCTTCTGGGTTTATTGGGGGTTGTTAGTTTGCTGTAATTCTCAAGAAATGCCTTCTGTGGCAAAGTCCTCTAGGTCGTTGGTGCAGATGATGCCCAGGCTTGCTGTGTCTACCGCCCCCTCCCCTGGGATCCGGGGAGACTCCCTGGAGCCCCGGCCAGCCGCGTGCTGGGTGGGGTCGCCCTGAGGCCCGGGGGCGGGCTGCGGGTCAGCGTGGGGGGCGCTCTGGGGCCCAGGGCCCTGCCTCAGGAAGGTGGGGGAGGAGAGCTGTGAGGAGCAGCGCGGGGGCATCACGGCCGCGGGCAGGGGCCGGAGGCCCGGGTACAGCACGTAGGGGACCGCGAGCATGTCCAGCGGGCGTGCTTCAGGGGAACCCTCCTCTGAAGATGGGATGGGGACCTTGACATATTTGCCTGTCTCTGGGTCATAGAAGGTCTTGATTTTCACCTGAAGCGGCAGGTCGAAGACAAAATACTCCCCAGATTGGGGGTCTTGGAGGACCTTCTGGGTGGCAGGGTAGGGGAGCAGGGGCATGAGGGACTGGGGCCTCCCAGGCCGCCTCCTGAGCGGCTCGGGGAAGGTGGACACGGAGTGGCGGTGCACAGGAGGAGGCAGGGCACGGACAGCCGGGAACCTGGGCAGCGGCCTCTCCCCGGGGGACAAGGGCCCGTGCTCCGCGTCTTCCCCCGGGGGCTGCTCCTGGGCTTTGCCGGGGGCTTCCTGGGCCTGGTCCGTCTTTCTGCGCTTACTTGCCAGCTTCTTTGCCCGCCGCAGGGCCTTTTCTGTCTTGGGCGGGACTGCGGGCGGCTTGGCGGCGGCCCTTTCGAGGTGAGAAGAAGGCTCTGCCCTTTCAGGGAAGACAGCCGGGCTGGCGGCCACCTCCAGCACGGAGCCTCCTGGAGACAGCGCCCTGAGGTGTTCCGCTGACGGCTCCAGCTGGGGGTCAGAGCTGGCTTCCCACACGAAGGCGTGCGTCAGGTCCTCCCTCCGGGCGGCCCTGGCAGGGCTGGGGTTGGCCCAGGTGCTGGCACGGGGCTCCCCTGGCATCAGGCCCAGCTCACTGGGCCCCTGAGAAGTGTCGTCCCAGACACTGCTGGCGGCAGGGGAGTGCCCACTGCTCCCCTCCAGAGAGCTGCTGTGGGGGGACGTGGCCAGCTCGCCGGCCGCCCATCTCCCTGGGGGCCCTGCTCTGGGTGTACACAAAAAGTGACTTTTGCAATCTTGTGTCTGCTCTTCCCAAGACGGTCCGAGCTGCTGTGGGGGGGGCTGGTCTTGTGAGCCACCTTCGGGCAGAGTGATTGTGGGGATGCACCGCAGAGCCTCCAGCTTCCCTGGGTCACTGTCACTCACCGAGGCCTTCCACAGGGCATCCGGGGGTGGCTCCGCCCCCTCGCCCTCTCCTGCCAGAGGAGGAGATGACACAGTCCCCATTGTCTCCATCCTGGACACACTGGCCACGCCCCCACGGTCCTCCACGCCCCTGTGGCCCACATGCTTCAAGGGTGGGCCCCTCATGCCAGTGGTTATCGGGGTGCTGGGCATTTCCTGGCTCTTGCCTGGCCTTGGCAATGCCTCCTCTCTTTGGCCACCGCCCAGCGGGTCCTCTGAGGACAAGGCCCTCAGGAGGGGCAGCATGATGGGTCTTATCACGGGGGTGGCCCTGAGGGTGTTGTCCTTGATTGCAAACAGCCTGTGCCTGTTCGCAGCGGGAGAGGGTGAGGGGTCTTTGGCATGTGACAGGGCTACACCCCTACTCTCCCCGCTCCAAGGGACTCTGAAGTCAGCTTCCTCCCTCGACGCCTTCCGGGGTCTCCCTCCACCTACACGCTCTCCTTCTGCTTGCCAAGGTCGCCTCTCGCTCTGCCCCCCCACGCGCGTGGGCCCGTCACCGAAGGCACAGTGCTGCGGCTCCTCGGCCCCTGCCCCGGCCCCCGCCTCGTCCTTCCCACCGTCGCCTGCACCCAGGGCACTCCTGGCGTCCTGCGGGCTCTCGGCGGCCAGCCAAGGCTTCTGCTGGTCCTCGAACGAGGCAAAGGACTGGTCGGAGGAGCTGGTGCTGAACTTGGCCTTGCCCTGGAGGCCGGGCGCAAAGTCCGACTGGGTATCACTGTAAAACACGTCCTCCTCCTCGGGGGAAAGGGGCCCTGGCGAGACCTTCTGGGTGAAGTTCGGATTCTGAAGTCCTGCCTCTGTCTCGGGTTCTGTCTCTTGAGAGAGGGACCTGGAGAAGCCGTTCTCCAGGCAGGGGGTGTGTGGCCGCAGGGCCCTCCCCACCGCAGGCCCTGCGCTGCGGAGCGGGAGGCCCAGGCGCTCCCTGGGGTCTGGAGACCAGCTGTGCCTGGCGGCTTCGAGCTGGGAGCCGTCCTTGGTGGCGTCCTGCTCCGGGCTGTTGCCGACAGCCTCCCCGTTGACACAGAAGGAGGCTTTGGTGAGGGCGGGGGGCGAGCCAAGGGTCAGACAGTTGTCCGCAGAGGGCGCGCCGGGATCCGCTTTTGGGTCCCCCTGGGTACTGACGTAGGACAGAGGAGTGTCAGCGGCTCTCTCCTCGGGAGGCACCTGTGGGGGGCTTTCCTCAAGCCCGTCGGGAAGGACGCCGTTGCTCACGGGGTCTTGCTTGCCTCTGCCTTTCTCATCGCCCTTCAGGAGAACCGAGGGGCTGTAGGTGCTCCTGACCCGCCTCCGCACGTCCTTGAGGTGGAACAGCAGGCCGGGCGCGGCCCTGTCGCCGTCCCGGGGGGCACTCTCGCCGGGCTCCTGCTCCTGGAACCCGTTCAGCTGTCCTGCGGGGGGCGGGGCTGTCTGCGCGGGCGGGCTGCTGGACGGCTCCAGGACCTGCTTGGTGGGGATGATGGGGGTCAGCAGCTCACTGATGTTGAAAGGAGGGGTGTAACAGTCTCCGGGCTCCGCTGCATGGTCAGGGGCCTCGTTTTCCGGGCACGGCCCCTGGGGATCGCGCTCCGCACACAGGGCCGGGCCTGGCCGGCTGGGCCGCTTCCCCTCCGCAGGGCCCTGCGCACTTGCCTTGCCTCCTCTGCCAGCCTTCGGTTTCCTCCACGGGGCCTGGGCCGACTTCCTCTGAAGGTCGGGCTGCGCGCCCGAAGCGTTGTCCTCCCCGGGGGACACCCGAACGCCTGGGTCCGCAGCTCTCCAGGGCCCCGGCACGGAGACAGTGCCCGCTGCCAGCCTGTCCTCTTGGCCACAGCCGGCCCGGAGCGGGCAGGGAGAGAGTCGGCGCTCGGGGGCCCGGGGCTCTCTCGGCTGGGGGGCGCTGCCACGGGTGGGGGGTCTGCCTTCAGGGGCAGCCTCGGCGGGGCCCTTCCTGTCCCGCAGTCTTGGCTGGCGGGAGCTCCACGACTCAAAGGCGCTGTTCTCGCTGTGGAGGAAGGTGCCTTTGCGGGCCCACTCCTGGCTCCTCCCGGGCTCGCCCGCGGCGGCTCTGTGGGGTGGAGAGCAGAGCCGGGGCTCCGACGAGCTGCCGGGGCCCTGACAGGCCACCTCAGGGCTCCCGGGGGCCTCCCGCTCTGCGTGCTGCCTGCCGGGCTGGTGGCCCTGCGGCCGGCCGGAGCCTTCGGCGGGCACCCTTCTGACGGTCAGAAAGGCAGAATCAAAGCAGAAGTTGACACCACTGTCTGGGAGAGGAGCGAATTTGGGGGGGCTCTTGACAGCTGGAGGCTTGCTGGTGGGAGGCCTGTCGAAAGACTTGATCAGCGAGGACACTTTGGGAGTAGGCTTGCTGCTGCTCCGCAGGCCAGGCAGGGGCACCTCCAGCCTGCGCAGGGCGGGTGTCAGCGGGGGGCTGCCTGTGGAGCACTCCTCCTCTCCTTGGACGTACTTGGGCAGCTGCTGGAAGGTGGCCGCCCAGCCCGCGTGCTCCGCGCCCTGGGACGGCAACTGACTCCAGATGCCGCTCTTCCTGCGGGTGTGGCTCACGCTTCCCTGGTGGCAAGTCCCCAGCACCTGGCGGGTGAGCTCTGGCGACAGGGTCAGGTCCGAGTCACTGAAGGACGTGTCTTCTGAGATGCACAGACTCCGAAAGGCCCGGTCGGTGAGGCTGCTCACCTCCCTGTCCGCGTCGTCCAGCACGCTGCCGATGCTCGAGGTGTCGCTGAAGCCGTCCGCGCACTTCTTGTTCCCCTGCATCGCTGCTGCTGAGAAGCTGTCCCGGGCCCGCGGCGGCTCCTCTGCGCGATGCTTCTGGAAGGGCTGGATGTAGCCTTCTTCCCACAAAACTACAGTCCCCGTGGATCAGATGCAGCTGCAGAGGGATTATTTTTCTCTGCAGAAGGAAGAACACCAAGGTATGAAAAGGGGACCTGACTGAGTGGCTCCCTGCAAGAGCCACACGCTGCCAGGCGGTAATGGCCCACAGTAGTCACTTTCGTGTCAACCTGGGTGGGCCCTGGTGCCCAGCCAAATGCCAGTCTACATGTTGCTTTGAAGGTAATTTCTTTAGATGTAATTAACATTTAAATATAGACTTTGAGTAATGCAGATTGCCCTCATCATGTGGGTGAGTCTCATGCAAAAGAGGGAGCACCCCGAGGAGGGAGAATTCTACTCCAGTCCCTGGCTGCAGCTGCACCATCCACCCCTCGGGGTCCAGCCTCTGGCCTGCAGATGTGGTGTTTCCCAGCCCCCACGGTTGCCTGGGCCACTTTCTTACTAGACATCTCACGACATTTTGGCCAGCGACTGCCTGTATATTTGATGGCAGTTCCACAAGATTATAACGGAGCTGAAGAATTCCTATCCCTTGGGGGCATCGTACCCGCCTAATGTTGTATCGAAACCCTTTCCTCACGTGTTCGTGGTGACCTTCTGTGCGGCCTGCAGTCCGTACGGTCATGCTCTTGATGGTGACCATGAATGGCTGTCGCCGGTTTACGTGTGTACTAGGTTATACCTTCTATCAGTATCTGGAGTGTACCCTCTCTACCTGTAAAAAACCTTGGTGTGAAAAGCGTGCCTGTTACGCCGGCAGCGTGTGCCTTTCGGGTTTACTGGGTCTCCTGGGGGCACCGTCTCCCTCGCGTTTGATTGGGTCCGTGCAGTTTTGACAGGGCAGGCTTGTAGCCCAGGTGGGCACCATCTAGGTTTGGGTAGATGTGCCCTGTGATGTTTCTCAGAACGTTCCCATCGCTAAGTGCGCACGGCAGTGTGGGTACGTGTCCCTTTGGCTCTGTTCCTCCGGAGAACCTGACTCAGTGCCTGAAGCTCAGACGTCCCTTCTGCAGAGAGGTCTTCTCTGACATTCCGGGGGCCCCCTCCCTCTCCCTCTCTCCCAGGGGCTGGTTTATTTCCTTCATGGTACGGAGCATAGTCTAAAATTAAATTTACTTCTTTGTTGCCTATGTCATCATTAGATGTAAGAACCGGGAGTTTAAGAGACATTAAACTGTCTGCTCACTCAGTGGCCTTGTCCCAAAGCCACCCCAAGAGGACACAGTCCTCCAGAGCCTACATCTCCTGGGCTCCCTCATTCCCTGCCTTGACCTTGGGTGTGACCAGTGGGAGGTGCCAGTAGGAGCCTGGAGTGAAGGGGGCCTGTTTACCCTCCCCCCGGGGCTGCAGGAGGCTGACTTCACTCTTTTTGAGTGACTTCACATCCTGGGATCTCCCGAATTCTGCCCCTGCATTACACTTTCTTTTTCTTCTTGTTCTTCTGCCTCCTCCTCCTCCTCCTCCTCCTCCTCCTCCTTTTCTTCCTCCTCCTCCTCCTCTTCCTCTTCTTCCTCCTCCTCCTCCTCCTCTTCTTCCTCTTCTTCCTCCTCCTCTTCTTCTTCTTCTTCTTCCCCTCCTCCTTCTTCTTCTTCTAATTTTAGAGAGAGGAAGGGGGAGAGAGAGAAACATTGATCGGTTGTCTCCCACGCATGCCCTGACTAAACCCAACACCTGATATATGAGATGACACTCCAGGCAAGTGAGCCACACTGGCGAGGGCTCTTTATTTTAAAATTGTGGTAAAATATACACCACCTAAAATGTGCCATCTTAAACATTTTTAAGTGTGCAGTTCAGTAGTGTTAAGAACATTCATATTGTGCAAATATCACCACCATCCGTCTCTCGAACTGTTTTATCTTGCAAAACCGAACTCCCGCCTCGCACAATGACTCCTATTGTCTTCCCCCAGCCCGGCAACCACAGCCAGTCTCCACGACTTTGACTCTCCTAGGGCCTCACAGGGGTGACATCGTTGAGAATTGTGCTTCTATGACTGGCTTGTTCACTCAGCATGATGTCTTCGGTTCATCCAGGCTGCAGCCTGTGTCAGAGCTCCCTTCCTTCTTCAGGCTGAGTAGTCACCGTCTGTAAGTACCGCCTTCCATGTGCCCATCGTCTGTCCGTGGGCACGAGGGTGCTTCCACTCGGGGCTACTGGGGATGGTGCTGCCCTCGACATTGTGTCCAGATATCTGTTCCAGATCCTGTTTGCAGTCCCTCAGGGCTCGCACCCAGAGGGGGTTGTAATTCCACTTTTAATTTTTGAAGAAGCCGTCAGACTGGTTCCATAGCAGCTGCCATTCTGCATTCCCAGCAGCAGCGCACGAGGTTCAGAACCTCCTCGTCCTTAACAGCACTGACTAATTTCTGCTTTCGATAGTAGCCATCCCAGTGGGTTTGCATGGAACATTAGTTCCCTTTTGGGTCCTGTCTGAGATGCTGCCTTGTGCCGGGGTCCTGACCACCACTCCTGCCGATGCTGAGAACTGGCCTGGCCCGCAGCAGGGGGTACGTAATGAGTACACAAAAAGTTAGACAGTCCGGCTGGTGTGGCTCTGTGGGTGAGCATTGACCCTGCACCAAGAGGTCTCCGGTTCGATTCCCGGTCAGGACACATGCCCAGGTTGTGGGCCTGATCCCCAGTGGGGGGCATGCAGGAGACGGCCAATCAATGTTCTCTCTCATCCATGTTTCTATCTCTCTCTCCCTCTCTCTTTCTAAAATCAATAATAATAATAATAATAATGAAGTTAGAGAAAATAGCAAGTTCAGACCTAGAGGGGGCTCAGGTGGGGCATTTGGGGCAGCAGTCGGCCGGCAGGGCGCTGGGAGCCTGCAGCTGACAGGTGGAGACCTGCCTCACGGTGGCCTCTGTCCACATCAGCAGGCGCTGGCGGAGCGGGGACAGGGGAGCCCTCCGTCTGGGACCATCCTTGTCCCCGGTGGGAATGCGCACAGGACGTGCTCGGCCCGCAGGGCTGTCTTCTCCCGGGGGTGCCCTCCCTGGGGCTCCTGCTCACCTCTCAGACCACAGCACTGCAGGAGTTTCCAGTGATGACTGGCGGGCAGGCCACCTGCTCTTATAAATGAAAGAAAGGAACAGAGGCTGCTGGATGAAGCGAAGGACTTTGAGTTCTGGCACAGGCAGGAGGTGACAGGGAACCACCACCCGCCCTGGGAAAGCCCTTCACAGGCCCCTCAGCCTCCAACCAGGGCTGCCTGCTGCCCAGCAAACTCAGTGCAGGCCCCCCAGGAGGCTGGGGAAGCGCAGGGTGTCTGCCTCAGTCCCTGCTGCCCCCAGCTCTGCTCCTTCCCAGCTCCCCTCCTCCAGCACTTCCTCCTCCATCACTGCCTCTCCTCCAGCCCTGCCTCCTCCATCACTGCCTCTCCTCCAGTACCTCCTCTCCTCCAGCACTTCCTCCTCCATCACTGCCTCTCCTCCATCACTTCCTCTCCTCCAGCACTTCCTCCTCCATCACTTCCTCTTCTCCAGCACTTCCTCCTCCATCACTGCCTCTCCTCCAGCCCTGCCTCCTCCATCACTGCCTCTCCTCCAGCACTTCCTCCTCCATCACTTCCTCTCCTCCAGCACCTCCTCCTCCATCACTGCCTCTCCTCCAGCACTGCCTCCTCCATCACTGCCTCCTCCATCACTTCCTCTTCTCCATCACTGCCTCTCCTCCAGCACTGCCTCCTCCATCACTGCCTCTCCTCCAGCACTGCCTCCTCCATCACTTCCTCCTCCATCACTTCCTCCTCCATCACTTCCTCCTCCATCACTTCCTCTTCTCCATCACTGCCTCTCCTCCAGCACTGCCTCCTCCATCACTTCCTCCTCCATCACTTCCTCTTCTCCATCACTGCCTCTCCTCCAGCACTGCCTCCTCCATCACTGCCTCCTCCATCACTTCCTCTTCTCCATCACTGCCTCTCCTCCAGCACTGCCTCCTCCATCACTGCCTCTCCTCCAGCACTGCCTCCTCCATCACTTCCTCCTCCATCACTTCCTCTTCTCCATCACTGCCTCTTCTCCATCACTGCCTCTCCTCCATCACTGCCTCCTCCATCACTTCCTCCTCCATCACTTCCTCTTCTCCATCACTTCCTCTCCTCCAGCACTTCCTCCTCCAGCACTTCCTCCTCCAGCACTTCCTCCTCCAGCACTTCCTCTCCTCCAGCACTTCCTCCTCCAGCACTTCCTCTCCTCCAGCACTTCCTCTCCTCCAGCACCTCCTCTCCTCCAGCACTTCCTCCTCCATCACTTCCTCCTCCAGCACTTCCTCTCCTCCAGCACTTCCTCTCCTCCAGCACTTCCTCCTCCAGCACTTCCTCCTCCAGCACTTCCTCTCCTCCATCACCGCCCCTCCTCCATCACTTCCTCCTTCATCACTTCCTCTCCTCCAGCACTTCCTCTCCTCCAGCACTTCCTCTCCTCCAGCACTTCCTCCTCCAGCACTTCCTCCTCCAGCACTTCCTCTCCTCCAGCACTTCCTCCTCCAGCACTTCCTCCTCCATCACTTCCTCCTCCAGCACTTCCTCTCCTCCAGCACTTCCTCTCCTCCAGCACTTCCTCCTCCAGCACTTCCTCCTCCAGCACTTCCTCTTCTCCATCACTGCCTCTTCTCCATCACTGCCTCTCCTCCATCACTGCCTCCTCCATCACTTCCTCTTCTCCATCACTTCCTCTCCTCCAGCACTTCCTCCTCCAGCACTTCCTCCTCCAGCACTTCCTCTCCTCCAGCACTTCCTCCTCCAGCACTTCCTCCTCCATCACTTCCTCCTCCAGCACTTCCTCTCCTCCAGCACTTCCTCTCCTCCAGCACTTCCTCCTCCAGCACTTCCTCCTCCAGCACTTCCTCTCCTCCATCACCGCCCCTCCTCCATCACCGCCCCTCCTCCATCACTTCCTCTCCTCCAGCACTTCCTCTCCTCCAGCACTTCCTCTCCTCCAGCACTTCCTCTCCTCCAGCACTTCCTCTCCTCCAGCACCTCCTCTCCTCCAGCACTTCCTCCTCCATCACTGCCTCTCCTCCAGCACCTCCTCTCC